TCTCCCTATTTATTTCAGACCCCCCTTCCCCTCCCCCATTTCTGAAGAAGGGTCTAGGCCCGAAACGTCAGCCTTCCTGCTCCTCTGATGCTGCTTGGCCTGCTGTGTTCATCCAGCTCTACACCTTGTTATCTCAGATTCTCCAGCATCTGCAGTTCCTACTACCCCTTTACTGGCTTCATCACGGGTAGTTGTACCTTCAGTTGCACTAAGCCTAACCTGTGGAATACCGTCCCAACATCTCTGCACCTCAACCTTAATTTCCTCCGTTAGGACATTCTCAGAAACCTATCTTTTTAGCCATGCCTATGAGCATCATCTCTAATATCTCCCTTTGTGGCCTCATGTCAAATTTTGTTTGGTAATACTCCTGTGAGGTACTTTGAGACAATTTATTATGTTAAAGGTTCTGTATAAATACAAGTTGTTAATGTCTTTTTCTTAGCTGCTTTTCATTCTCCACTTTACATTCTCTTAACCCTTTGCAGTGATTGTAATGAGGTCAGCTCGATGGACCTCCGAGAATATGAGTTATCTGATTGGGGCTGTTAATTGATCCAGTCAGGGAGTCCTACCTGACAAATAAACAGGAGTGTCAAAGGTACTGTTCACTCTGAGAGCTGGCTCTGAGGAAGCTGCACCACTCTCAAATACTATGCACCTAAAAATAAAGGGTGACTTGGTGACAGTAAACTGGCCTCTGTGGAGTTATTTCAGTGGCCATGAGAGAAAACGTTATGCTCCTGAAGAAATTCACCCGCAGCAGTTGTCTTTGAGTTGGGATAAGCAATCTGGCATCATGCTGTTATTTTGGAAGCTTGACTTGTTGATCCTGCAGTCAAAAACTGGGCCCAGTATGTGGAAAAAATACATTATTTTTTCCAGGCAAATGACATTCGGGCAGATGAAAAACAATGAGTAATTCTTCTGACAGCTTGTGGACCCGCAGCTTTTTTTGTTTATTAGGAGGCCTAACATTTCCTGACGCACCAGATACTAAAACCTTGCAAGAGTTGACAAATTTAGCTAAGGAATATTACATCCCCAAGCCGCCTCTAATTCTGAGACACGGTTGGTTTTACTTGGCAGGTCGAGAACCAGGTTAATCAGTGTTGAGTTTTTTGACAAGGTTAAGACGACTGGCAGAGGCATGTGACTCTTTAATGAGATGCTGAGAGACCGTTTAGTGTGTGGAATTAATGATGTAACCATGTAAAAGTGCCGACAAGCTGAAGCCCAACTGGACTTCAAACGGGCACTACAACTAGCTTTGTCATTGGAAAGTGCGGCAAGTGGAGCATTTGACTTACAGGGTATTCCGATGGAAGTGGACACCATCGCCAGGTTACCTGAGCTGGGGACACCACTTGAGTGAAGGCAATTGTATAGTCTCACTCAGGACATATCCTTAACAGAGAGACTCGAGGTCAGCTCACAGCAAAACCTCAAAAGAAAGACAAGCCTTGGCCAAACAGTTAAGATTTTCTTCAGGATCCAGGCCAGCAAGCCATTGTAGTTGCTGACTCGAGACTATGGAACTCGAGACAACAAAAGAATCACACTAGGCCTGAATTGGGTAAGACAACTCATAGGCTGGTATCGAAAGGAGTGCACAGCCTGGAAAGCCCACCTACTTCTGGCATGGAACAGTTAAATTGCTTAGCAACATCCAAATCAAGAAACAATCAAAATAAATGCCTGGTTAAATGGTGGCCCTGTTCTAATGGAGGTGGATACTGGTGCTGAAACCAGTCAATAACAAAGTTCACTCTGGAGTCCAACCCTGAAGTTTGTCTAACACTCCGGCTAGACTGAGAACCTATACCGTCGAACTTTTACAGATCAAGGGTACAACTTTGTTTCCATTCTCTTGTGAGAAAGCAGCTAGTTCAGTTATTGCTGACTGTGGTAAAAGGCTCGGGCCCAAGCCTGATGGGGCAAAATTGGTTGAGAAACATTCACCTTGATTAGAAAATAGCTGCCTGAGTGAAGTCCTAATTAAATACCTGGAAGGTTTTCAGGAATGTCTAGGGACTATCAAAGGAGCTAAGGCCATCTTGCATGTTGACCAGGAAGCAATTCCAAGATTCTGCAGGGACCCACTCAGTGCTATTTGCCTTACGTGCAAAAGTAGAGGCAGCAATCAGGAGGCTGGAGAGCAAAGGTATCGTCAGACCAGCCCAGTTTGCGGAATGGGCAGCACCGGTCGTAACCAGCTGGTGAAGCCTGATGGGTCAGTTTGCCTTTGTGGGGATTTTAAACAAACGGTAAACTACTTCTCACAGCTCGGCAAATAACCAATCCCTTACATAGAGCAAAGCTATCGGGTAGGTGGGGGATGTGAGGATGGTGTTGTCCTTCACGAAGCTGGACATGAGCCATGTGTACCTACAATTGCAATGAGTTGAGGATTCACAGAAGTATGCTACAATTAATACTCATGAGTATTTTGTACCAAAATACGAGACTGCCATTTGGGGTACCGTCAACCTGTGCCATTTTTCAGGGGATGAAGTTTGGTACCAAAACTACGGAAATGACCCTGCATGGGGAAGAGGCATGGTCGATGCAAGGTCAGGTCCTACGACGTGCAAAGTTCGGGTAGGTGAGGCAGTCCTGAGCAAGCACATGGACCGCATGAAGGCCGCAAACTTGCAAATAGGGCGAGAGCAAAACATACCAGACCCTTCAGAACAACCAGAAATGCTGTCAGAACTTGTGGGTTCTCTCCCACTTTCAAGCGTCGAAGAAATCTCAGAGTCTCAGACAGACCTGGTGGATGTTGCAGCCTCGACACCTTTACCGCCTGAAGAAGAGGATGAATTTCTTGTGAGATACTCCAAGCACAAGAGGTGGGCTATGGTCCGGTACACACCACCCCCATCAGAGGAATCAGACCCAGTGCGAAAACGCCACAGGAGAGGCAACAGGAAAAAGAACAGGCCTGAATCCCCATACTTAGAGGGTTTGGGGTATAGTGATTGGAATGAGGTCAGTCAGGCGGACTTCAGAATATGAGGACAGATTGGGGCTGTTAACCTGGTCCAATTCAGGAGCCCTGGCTGACAAATATAAGCAGGAGTGTCAGACATCCTGTTCGCTCCGAGAGCTGGCTCTGAGGCAGCTGGATCTGTGTCAATGACAGTGAGATAAAGGGTGACTTGGTGACAGGATACCGGCCTCTCTGGAGTTATTTTACCCTTCATGGTTTTGCTGGATCTTGCAATTGTCTCTCGCTCCTGTTTTTGACTAGCTCTCTGAATTATGCTTTTCCTCATATTTGTTTTTCCTTCAGTTTCTTCCCTGCTATTTTCTATGTTTCATTGCAGTTTTAATTTTCTTTTTCATTTTTCCATTTGTCTCTGTCTTGATTGTTTGGACTTGCCATGTTGCTGTTGTCCTCACTCCACCTGTTCCCTTCAATCGTTTTGAGATGAAACAGCAAGAGGCGTTTCAGTTCTGGGTTATTAGACACTTTTTTGAAAGGAAGAAGATCTTTATAGTAACGTAATCCATGTTCCGAGTTGGAAATTAAGTTAGTATTGCGAAAATGCTTAATGAGTTTTTCTCACCCTGCTTTAACACCACTATTAAAACAGCAGTCAGCAATTTCTATCGAAGAAATGAAATTTTTAGGATATAAGTCTTAATTTCCAGCCACAGTGCGATTTATTTTTGAAGCACGTTCTTACTTTAATGCAATTTATCTTGCTTAAACATTCTTCAAGGTTCAAGCATTTCCAACTGCACAGAATGTAAGATGTAAACACAGCCACATTCTTGCATAATTTTTGAGGTCATGTGAGAAACACTGAGATCACTAACAAATACAGTTGTGTACATTCACAAATGACTCACTGATTTTTGGGGCCTATTCTTACTTATATTTTCATGCTTCCTTATAATCTTGGAGTCTTCAGTTTATTTCCTTTCTCTTCTCATTTTCAATTCCTTTTTCTGGTTCTTGCTCTTTTAAAAACATTAAAATTTCTTATCTGACTTGTAAGATACTCAGGTAGAGCAGCAGGCTGAAAGAGGGGTTGAAGTTTGGAAGTGTATGGTATGAGAGATGTGTCTTTAAAAAAAACTTCTAAATGAATGAAGACCAGGCTGTATTACCTGTCCTATACAAGCATCTGTCTTCGGTTTTCTGGCACATCTCTGATTTTGATCTCTCCACGACGAGTCCATGCCTTTAGCTGCACAGGCATTAAGCTCTGGTATTCCCTCCCTAAACTGTCTGCCTCTCTACCTTTCTTTTTTTCAAAATACCTTGTAAAACCTATCTCTGACTGGTCTTATGGTCACATTTTCTAATATCTCTTTAAGTTGCTTAGTTTCAATTTGTTTATGGTCCCATAAAGCACCTTGGGCCACTTTGCAAGGTGGTAAATCAGTACAAGTTGTCTTATATTTAAGTTGTTGGTGTGGATATTGTGTGACATAAAATTAAATATCATCCTGTTTTTGATATATTTAATCCAGGTTGTTGTTCTGATTGCCTGTGTGGCTGTAGGTGAAAAGGATCATTGACCTGATGGTTTTTTTAAGTGGGTTTTTTTGCCACCATCTGCTGAACAGTTTAAGTGAAAATACACTTTTAAGATAATAAGAAACCTTGGAACGTGAAGCAAGTCACAGCTTGCTGTACTGTTAGCTGAAAGGTTTTGTGGTTCTTCCTCTGAAGGCTGGATGGTTACGACAGACTTTGGAAACCTGCATGCTGATTGTAGTGATCTGTCATTGCAGCTAACTAAGAGTCTGGCCAGTCTGATCTTGTGGAATGCGTCTCTAATGCTGACAAAGTTGAAGTGACTCACTTAATGGAGATTTCTATGGTTCGCAGCTGGGGTCTGCAAAGGTGGAGCCAGTGGGGTGCTTCACTACAGGACGAGAGTGTCCAGCAGACACCTGGACACAGACGGCATGCACAGCCTTTCATTTAAAGGTAACTCTTTCTGTTGTTCACTGTGAGAGACCAAGTAATGAATTTATATTTTCCTACAAATCTAAGGGAGGAGGTTTTGTACAGTGCATTACTGCTGTTCTCATAGAAAAGCGTACCAGTGATTCCTTTATGTAATTAATCCAATCCTCTGGCTGACCCATCTGATGTTTTTTAGTGCAGTGACTGTTCAGCAGGATTGTTAACAAAACATTGCTAAAGAATTTGCAGGCAAATATTTAAGCCAATAGTGGGTGTGCTTCTGTATTACTGGGCGGGATTGAGCAAAGCTTCACCCATTCTCAGATGCCATATTTGTCTGGTTAAAACATTCGTGGGTTAAAAGATTGGGAAAAAAAAATTCTCCTTGGAACTGAGAATGTTAAGAGTTGACCTAATCAAGGTTCACAAGACAATGATGTTTTGGCAGACTAGATACTGGTCATTCACCTGTAATGAGTGGGTTAGTAACCAACGGTGATAGATGAGGAGATTGGTTGGGATCTGGAATGCTCTCCCTGGACGTGGTGGAAGATGATTCCATAAATTATTTAAAAGGGAGTCGGACTGGTATTTAAGAGCGAGGTACTTGCAGGGTTACAGATATGATATGGAGGGTGGGTGTGGCCTGAGCGTGAATGCTCTTTGAAAGAACTAGCACAGACACAAGCGGCTGAATTGTGCACTTCTGCACAGCACCTTTGTGCTTCTAGTAAGAAGTAACCAACTTCTATTTTAAGGACCGCAGTAGTGAGCAAGGATAAGCTTGATGGGTTTCATCACAGACCCACTGTAAAGTAAAGAAACTTGCTGTCTCTCACACCTAAATCGAGACAGAGTCTGAATTCGGTTACAGATCTCTTTAGGATAGTAGTTGAAAAAACAGTTCTAGGGTGATATCAGGAATATTTAATGGAAACTAATGAAAGTGAAGGAAGATTGTATTCAGTTTCTGTCAGCATTAATTTCCATTTGCAAACTATTTTTAATTAGGATAATTCAAGTCTTTATTTAAACAGAGTTAAACTAGTAGTTGTTACTCATTTTATCCATCATTTTGTTCTTCAATCCTGAGGTTCTGAATTTGAATCCTGGTTTCTGTAATTGGTTATATGCTACAAGATTTCAACAAGAATCTCTAACTAGGGGTCGCTTTATAAAATAAAGGGTTATCCATTTAAAAAAGATTAACAAAATGTTGTCTCCAAGGGTTGTGTGTCTTTGGAGCTGTCTTCCTCAAAAGGTAGTGGAAGAGTCTTTGAATGTTTAAAGTCAGAGGTAAATAGATTTTTGTTAAGCAAGAAAGTAAGTTTATCTGGGGTAGGCTGGAATGTGGAATGATCTTATTGATTAGCAAAGCAGGCTTGAATGGCTGAAAGGCCGAATCTATTTCCCATTTGTATGTTCGTATGAGTACATCCAATTTAAGATAATTGATCAAACTCATAATGTAGTTCATTTCACACTTGCTAGATGTGACCAATACAAAGATCCATTCTTTGCACAGAAAACAAATCTGATCAAACCTAGTGTCTTTTCTGAATTACCAGGCAACTGAGGGGAGCCTCTAATTCCCCTTTGCTTTCTCCATGGCAACACTTCAATCTGAGTCAACTAACCAATAGGACCCGTCTTCTCCTGTAGCATAAATTGTGATTGTTTGAAATTTGACATTCTTAACTTACCCCCGAAGAGTGGAAGGGGAAATGTTTTGGCAACATATCTCTTTTCAGTGTGGAGATTGGTGAGGCTCCTCAGCAATAATAACAACCTGAATGTGCTAATAAAAATCCAGTTACATTTCATTTAGCAAGGTTTAACTTATTCAAAAGCTTTTACAGCGACACTGATAGTGTTTCATCAATTAAGTGATTACTACTTGGTTACATTCTGGTGGGGGAGAGGGAAACATCAACAACACACCTTTTGATGGCTTTAAAATCACTGATAGTAAACGTTCTATTTTTAACTGCACATGTTGACTCCAGAGCTTGATATTCTTTTAAGAGTAGTAATGATGATGGATGCTGGGCATTGTTACTATTGCAAAATTTGGACACAGTATTTCAAAGTGGATCATACAGAAATGTGTTTTCACTGAAAAGTTAGAGGACTCTGAATCAATCTTGAAAATAAACACCGGTGACCACATTGAGAGAAAATTGTCTGCACAAGTTGATGTTGGATTCCGATCTCGAACAACATGAAGATGACGACTGGCTTTTAATGCTCGAGTATTGTTCCGGAGTTATGGTTCATGTTGGTTTGTACTGGGCTGCTTTGATCACGTGAGTCAACTGTGGCTGTTAGTAATGATTCACATCTGAATCTGACGCCTGTGCCTTAGGAATCAATGTTTCAAAGGCTTGGATGAGCGTGTAATCGGAGTTCATGTTGTAGTACAGGACTGAGGCAGTGACGTTTAATTAGATTGTTGCAGATGAGACGTTAAAGGAAAGTTCCATCTGCTCTGCTGGGCAGGCATCAAAAATCCTCTGACACAATTTTGAAGACGAGTAGGGGAGTTATCCCTTATGTTCTGTCCTATCTATATTTATTCCTCACCTAACATCATGAAAATGAAGACTATCTTACCATTTATATCTTTTTTCCCTTTGGTGAATTCCGAAGAGTGACTTGCGAAATTGGACGTCGGTACTGGGAATGGCATTGCATTTGCTATGTAAATGCAATTTCTCTTTTACTGTAATCAGCTTTGGAAAGACTAGAACTGAAGGCACATTTTGTTTTCAGCACTGCAGGGCTTCTTAAACAGTGCCTTTCTCCGTAAACCTACAGAGAGGAACTGTTCTGTTAGGGTGAGGCACTTACTGGAGAGGCACATTAAAACAGTGTAAAGACTCCTGGCTCATCATTGGCTGCACTGGTTGTGCAGATATTTCACCAACTGTTCCTGAACAAGTCTCTGCTGTTTTGTAAGTTGACATGATTGTGATGTAGCAAAATATTTCTGAATTTATGAGCAGAAGTAGGCAATTCAACGCATCAATCTAGCTTTGCTATTAAATAAGATCATGGCTGATCATTTTGTGTTTTGAATTTCACATTCCCATCCACTCCCTAACTGCAGTCTATGCACCTCAACCCTAAAAATATTCAGTGACTCTGCCAGAATTCCAGACTTGCACAATCTCAGGAAAAAAAAAACAGTACCCTTGTTCTCATCTTACCAGAGGAGGAATCGTCCTTTCACGATCATCTTATAAAGACAGTTTACGATCTTACGTACTTCAATCAAGTCCCACCTCATTCTTCTAAACTCTAGTGGGATCGAGCCCAGCTTGTCTGACTTTTCCTCAACCAATCCGCTCATTCCAGATATCACAATCCAGTAAACCACCTCTGAACTGCCTCCACTACACTTACATCCTTCTTTCGGCAAAAAGGCCAACAGCACACACTATTCAAGTTACATAACAGAAGCACAACATCTTTACTTTTATAAAACAAACTATTTTGGATGCTTGAAATTCAACAAGTAAAGACAGAAATTGTTAGAGAAATTCAACAAATCTGGCAGCGTCTGTGAAGAGAAAACAGCTTGAATGTTTTGAGTCCAGTGACCCTTCAGAACATTTCTGTCTTGACTTTTATGTTCAATTCCTTTTATAATAATGAATAGCATTCTATTGCCTTCTTAATTATTTGCTGTACCTGCATTCTACTTTCTTGTAACAAATACACTAGGAGACAGAATCTCTCTGTACTTTGAAATTTTGCAGTAATTCTCTGCTATATTTATGCTTGGTAGAACAGGACATATCTGAAAGGACACCAGCCATTGAAGCTTTTCACCTTGCACTCATCAGAACTGGGACCCACAAAACAACCTTGAACAAAAGAAGACTGTTTCATATAGGATAAGAAGAGGATGATGATTGGCTTGGCCATCATTGACATGGAGATACAGCAATTCTGTAGGTAGATTCTGACTGGTTGCAATTTTGTATACTCCAGTCCTGTGACAACACCCTAACCAATTAATAAATAAGAATCTGGTTGCCTGGTCCTGGGAATTATGATTGACAGTTAACTGTTCTTAATGCATTTCCATGTTAACGATGGCCAAACTCGTCAGCAGCCTCTTCTCATTGTATTTAAGATGATATCTCTTTGTTCGTCTGTTTCTTGAGTCCTGGTTCTGATGAGTTCAAGATGAAAAGCTTCAACTTCTAGTCTCCTTTCAGTAATGTTTTTTATTCTTCCTGCTAGAGTGAACAAAATGCTTTGCCAGATTATTGGCCACTCACTCAACCTGTATATATCCTCTGCAAACTCCTTCTGTCTTCTTCACAATATACTTTCCTACTTCTCTTTGTGTCATCTGGAGATTTTGTTGCCATGCCTTTGCTTCCTTCGTCTTAGTAGTTGATATAAATTGTAAACATAAAGAATATATGAAATAGTAGCAGAGGTACCTGCTCTGTCATTCAAGAAGAATTGTGATAGATCTGCTTGTGTTTCAAATACCATTTTTCTAGCTCCCTTCAATGACAGTTGATCCCTTAATAGCGTCTTCCAAAAGATTACTAATAACAATTTGCATTTGTACTGCATCTTAGATATCGTAAACTGTCCCAACCCTTACTGTAAATGTACTGTCAATCAAAATTATACACCAAGCCACAATGGAATACTGAAACAGTTTACTAAAAGATTAATTAAAGAAAAGTTTTCAAAAGTGAAAAGTGGAGAGGAAAAGAGATTTAAGGAGGGAATTTCAGAGTTCAGTGTCTTGCCGGATGAAGCATGCTTGCTGCCCTTGTACAAGGCTGATGTAAAGTTTTCTAAACAAAGCGTAGCAGAAATGGCCAGCAGGTTAAATAGTCTCTGTGGAGATAAGCAGAGTTAATGGACAGAATCTTCCATTCTGGAGTAGAAGATCAGCAGTGGGCATAGGAAGTCAGTCATGTGGCTGCATACTTGTCAGCTCATTACATACGCATTAGGGGAAGCCATGGTGAATCTTATGGTGAGGCAGA